TAAATAAATAAATGACAGGAGCATCTAGTTGATAGGTGGCCTTAAATGTATTTAATTGGACAAGCATGGTAATGACTTAAAGTTTTGTAATAGAGTTCGGTTTAAACACTTTACAGGACCCTATATTTCTTGATACTTTCTTGTCAGACCCAAGAGATGTAAAGAAGGAGGATTTCTTTCCTTCCTGGCAGAGCTTTCCTTCTGCACAGCCCCTCAAGGCCCATTCTGCATTGACATGGAGATGGGGCAATCACTAACCGAGCTCATGGAAATGATGATCACCCTTATGAAACAATACTAGTGTGGCAGAATCAGTGAGGGTGCACTTATCTGGCCTGACACATCTGTCCTAAATTATATCCTAGAAAACTAGTGAGTGTAGCCCCTGGTAATTTTGATCTCCACAATGGGTCAGTTGAAGTTTTCCAGATGGACTCTAACTAGGTACCTTCATGACGCAGACACAAATAGGTTTTAGTCATTGTTTCCAGTTTCTCCCCCTTAGTTGAAGCATAGCCTTGCAGACAAACCATTGCCTCAACACTAGATGAGGTCCTTTTAGAAAAGTAATCCTTACCTAGGGTAATCCCTCTAGCTCCACAGCAGCCAAAGAACCCATTCAAATTAAATGCTAAATGGCTGGTCTTACAACGTGTCTTGTGCTTACCATGCCCAGTTCTCTGGCCTAGTGTACCAATGTGCTCTCAAATCCCAATTCACAAAATTTATGCAAACTTTCCATTTACCCTGGCCAAGGGTCCTATTTATAGTCCTTTTGAACCTAAGAGCCAGTCTCTTTAAGTTAAATTCTCACCACTCAAAATAATTAAAGGCTTCCCCATGCATTTGCCCCTGACTTCCTTTCATCCAAAATTAGTTTTAAAAAATCATGCACTTCAATATTGTAAAAGTATATTTAATGATATGAATAAGAATTATATTCCAGTAGAACAATCATTTCATAGTACTCTACCAGGAGAGAAAGATCTGAAACACCATAACGTATAACCAGGAGATTTTTGCCTATTGGAACAGACATTTACAGAGGGAATCTCTCCAACTGCACAAGGAAGGCACATTCCAGGTCTTGTTGACCAACCCTTGTGCTTTCAAGTTTAAAGGAATTGATTCCTGGATACCTGTATCCCTTGTAAAGAAAACATCAGCTGCTAATTGAATCTGTCCTGTTGATGGATTAAAACAAATTTTCTAGGAGTTGAGGCACATGGTATATATATATATATGTGTGTGTGTGTGTGTGTGTGTGTGTGTGTGTGTGTTAGATTTCCCATGATGACTAGACTGGGCCTATATACCCTTTTCTTGTTTCTAGCTTTATTTTGTTCTCTTTTTCCCTTCAAGAACAATATCCTAGTCTGCATTTCCCAGTCCATCACTAAAGGGAGAAACTTACAGATTGTTGGATCTGCTACTGCAAACACTGATCAGTCTGTGACTTTAGTGACTCCCTAATTCAACCTGTAACAAATTTCACTAATATTCTAGGTCTCACCACCTATACAAATTCTACCTCTGGAACCTCCTTTAAAGTAATCTTTCTCATCTACCCTGAACTTCTTTTTTGGGGGGGAGTACCAGGGATTGAATTTGGGAATTTGAGCTTGTGAGGCAGGTGGCAGAACCAATGAGCTAAATCCTCGGCCCCCTACCCTGAACTTCTGTCCTCTGCTTTACTTTCTTACAGCAATAGTCTCCACATTGGGCCCCAAGACTATTAAATAAACCACTCCCTCTAAACCATTCCTTGTGTCTCCCTACTAGAAATAAAAAATTATTGGGACTGATTTCAAGAGAAAGGGCTACTAACAACATTTATTAAAATAACTGACCCCAGGCTTAATTCTACCCTACACAAAAACTCACAGATGGAAAAATTATTCTTTTATCGGTTATTTTTACTACTGTGGGCAAGACATTTCATCATAGGCCTCCAAATGCTTAGACATTTGGGTAGCCAGGTGTGGTAGTGCTAGCCTATAATCCCAGCACTCGGGAGGCTGAGGCAAGAGAATCACCACAAGCTGAAGGCCAGCCAGGGCTACATAATGAATTCAAGGCTGGCCTGAACCACATAGTGAGATCCTGTCTCAAAAATAAAGCATTTGGGTAACAGGAGATAAATGTGGATTAGGACATGCAGTAGTCCCTTTTATGTTAATATAGCAATGTACATGGGTCTGGATATTTTATTTTAAAAAATAAGATTAAAATTCAAATATATGGCACTAGCTCTGCTGAGGGCCTCCCTGGCTGTATCACATCATGGCAGAAGATACTGTGTGGGAGCATAAATGGACTAGTATTTAGCAATGAGAATGAATAATCTACAAATACACTGAACAATACTGATGATTCTCACAAGTGTAGCACTGAGTGAAAGAAAACAGGCACTACAGAAAGCATACTGCATGATTTATTCCCATAAAGTGTAATGAAAAATTAACCTGGAGTTTTTTGTTGTTTTTTTTGGTACCAGGGATGGAACTCAGGTCCTTGTGCTTGCACAGCAGGTGGTGAAACCACTGAGCTAAATCCCCGTCCCTAACCTGGGTATTTGAATCAGGACAAAGTATTGCATTGGTTTGATATGCATAGCACACTCCCCACCCCGGACTATCTGCTAAAAAGCCTTGCTCTTCAGGGTGACACTACTGGGAGATGGTGGGACCTTTGAGAGATGGGGCTTACTGGCAGGTCCTTGGTCATTGAAGCTGTGACCTTGAAGGGGATTGTAGAACCCCAGTATTTCAGTCTCTTCCTTCTTTCTGGCTTGTGATGTGTGCTCTGACAGGCCACACCATGACCATCTGGTACACTTAGCAGAGGCCTAAAAAAACAGGGCTGCCCAAACCGAGTGTGGCAACATACACCTGTATTCCCAGTTATTTGAGAGTTTGAGACAGGAGGATGGCAGGTTTGAGGCTAGCCTGGGCAACTGATCAAGTACCTGTCTCAAAAAATAAAGAGCTGGTTATGTAGTGAAGGAAAGAAGGAAGGAAGGGAAGGAGGGGAAGAAAGGAAGGAGGGGAAAAAGGGAGGGTGGGAGGGAAAGAGAGAGAAACAGAGGAAGCAGTCCAATCTTGGACTGGGGCCCTCCAGAACAGTGAGCTAAATAATCTTTGTGCTTGGTTACATGGAAAGGCATATATATATTTATGTTGGGCTTATGAAAATTCACTGAACTGTATACCTGTGCAATTTGTGCTTTTTGTATGTAAGCCTTCTATGGTTTAAGTACCTCCCTCAAAGTTCATGTGCTGGGGCCGGGATTCAGCTCAGTGGTTCTGGTGCCTGCCTTGAAAGCGCAAGGCCCTGAGCTCGATCCCTGGTACCAAAAAAAAAAAAAAGTTCATGTGCTGAAGGCTTAATCCCCAGTGTCACAGTGTTGAGAGGTGAGACCTTCAAGAGGGATTAGGTCTCGAGGGCTCTGCCTTTGTGAGTGGATTAATGCCCTTTTGGTTGATATAAGTTAGTTATCCCCGAGTAGGTTCTTCACACAAGGATGAATAAAGCCTCTCCCAACCTTTCTTGCATGCTCTTTGAACTTTTCACCATGGGATGACATAGCAAGAAGACCCTCACCAAATGTGGACCCGTCCAATTTGGACTGCCAGCCTCAAGTGTAAGAAATAAATGTTTTTAGATAAATTACCTGGGTTCATGCATTCTGTAATAGCAACACATAAACGGTTCGAGAAATAATTTTTTTGCAAGTATTTATGTATAGACATGAAGATATTTTTGTTTTATGGTACCAGGGATCAAACTCAGGACCTTGCACTTCCAAGACAGGTGGCAGAACCACTGAGCTAAATACCCAGCCCTAGAGAGAGAATTTTTTTTACAAGGTTATTTTAAAAACTCTGTCATTGACCTCATGGACTATGGCTTGATCTCATTCACTCTGCTGTTAGCAACTGATCGCCAAACAACTTGCACGCCCACAAGTGGGAGTGGTGAGAGAGCGAATCCTCCACAGCTCCAGCTTCAGCCCCAAGGCCAATACCTCAGAGCGCCTCGGCCAAGAGCTGGGTCCCCTTCGCCTCAGACGCTCGGGCTGGGGTCCACGGAACTGAAGCTCCCAGACACCTCGAATCAGTTCAGCTACTTAGTGCTCCCGGAGTCAAGGGTCCCAAAGTCGGCGGGCTTGGCGAGTTCGCCACGACCTCGGCAGGGCCTTGGTCTTAGCCTCTCGAGGTCTGGCATGGAGGCCAGGGTGATCCTGGAGCCCGCGGGCCGCAGCCTCTGCGACCAGCCGCTGCGCATCGCAGTGCGCGGCCTGGCCCCCGAGCAGCCCGTCACAATGCGCGCGTCCCTGCGCGACGAGAAGGGCGCGCTCTTCCGGGCCCACGCACGCTACTGCGCCGACGCCGCCGGCCAGCTGGACCTGGAGCGCGCGCCCGCTCTGGGCGGCAGCTTCGTGGGTCTCGAGGCCATGGGGCTGCTCTGGGCCATGCAACCTGACAGGCCTTTTGGTCGCCTGATCAAGCGGGACGTGCAGACGCCCTTCGTCGTGGAGCTGGAGGTGCTGGACGGACACGAGCCCGAGCCCGACCTTGGGAAGCTGCTGGCCAGCGCGGTGCACGAGCGACACTTCCTGGCGCCCGGGGTGCAGCGCGTGCCTGTGCGGGAGGGTCGGGTGCGGGCCACGCTCTTCCTGCCTCCAGGTGAGACACTTGCAGTCCAATGATTGACCTGGTCCCTATGCCTTCAGAGACACATGGTTGTGGAACTTCTCTAAGCCGCTTCCAGTGTCTGTCATACTCTCTGAATGGAAGTGTGTTTCACGGCACTCCTTGGAGGCATTGTCAAGCCCTGAGCCACATGCTAAGAAGTGCATTCCACTTATATTGAGATCCCCTTCGTGCCAGCCACATGAGTGTGTTTTGGAATTCCATAACTTTTGTCTGGGTGCAAAACTTTTGCCTCTGTTCCAAAGAATTAAAAACCTTAATAGAGCCAGTGGTCCATAATCACGGAAACACAAAATTCCCTGAGACTCCACTTGTTCCTGTCTTTTTTTTTTTTTTTTTTT